GTTCGGCGAGTTTTGGCCTACACCTGCCAATATAAAGGAGATGTCTCCCAGTGACCTGTCCACCTTCCTGGAAAGGACAGGATGGATGATGAAGTTGCAGGACAGTTCCTCGGGAGGATGTACAATGGGTCACATGCGGCTTGAGTGCTGTGGGCCTACTTTCATCCTCCCTACTCTACAGAACCATGTACGTAGATGATGAAACATCGATTATCGTCTGAGGACGACTTTTGAAATGAAATGTGATGTTTTTCCAAGAGATCAAGTGGAAGTTGTCAGCAAATAACCTTCTTTGAATGTAAGTGAAACTAATGCAACGCAGTTTTACAATAATCTAAGAAATGTGAAGGTATACGTTTTTAGGAGAGCTAAAAATCTAGTTTCATAACTACTTTGAATCAAATTGTTGGGTATCTTCATTATTCAATGCCCACTATGACAGCAGGCACTGATTTTTTTTCATGTCTAGCTGATTTTTTTATCTACGGGAATATCTACAGAACAATTTCGTTTTCATACGGAATATTAACTTCACCTTGTCCCCTAATATATGAATTATGTTATGACAACACTTCGTTTTGAACGTCTAAAATAATTCCTTCGTTACAAATGTTCTTGTAATGTTGAAAATTATATGAGTGTGTAGAACATATCCATTTGTCGTACTTACAAAAACATTTTATAATTTTTTTAACGATTCTTATACATATTTATATTTGTCTAAAAGAAAATATGTTTAAAAATCTGTTTGAAATCTGTTTTTCCGTTAATCAGCTATCGCCCCCATACGAACGACAACTCTCAGAAGTTGAGAAACTTGTGCGAGCTGAGGACTAACGAGGTCTTACCTTTTAACGTGTGATTCCTAACACGGAAGAATCTTATTATATATTATTATTATAATTTTTATTTTCATTATAACAAAACTTACATTGAGTAACCAGCATGTTTTCAATGTCATACATAATACTTTCTCAATTTTTTACTTTCATCTAGAACTAGAACGCTCTTTGATCGAATTGAAAGGACGAAGTTTTTATATTTGTACACAAACCTGTTCCTCATCTATATTTGCAGTGCCAGTTGTCTGCATGTCAAAGACATTGACTAATTAACGGAAAAAAAATTAGAAACGTCAACGGATTTGCCATGCAAACTATTCTAAAAATATTTCAAAGCTTCAATTTTGCAATAACGTTGCTGTATAAACTATGTCAACGTTATAAAAATACATTGATGTGATGGATTAGATAACTTCTTGATCATAAATTACGACCTTCTTCTTGATAGATTTGATGGTTTCATTGCCAAATTTCAAGAATAACATAGCCTATGAAATCACGATTGGAGAAACAATCCAAAAATGAAAGGAATGAAGATATCATTCAGTCAAAAAGAGACGTCATTCAAGAAAATACGTCTGCTTCATGTCAGCAACCAGATATTTCTGATTCTACCGAGTTGTTTATGTTTTTTCATTTCATATTGAATATTCATCTTCTAGATGGGTTTCATAAATTTTCCGTAGCCACTTTGAGAAACAAGTTCCTTCTGATTTTTTGAATCTAACCTTTCTGTCTCATGGTTATTCAATTTTGTAACCTTGTGTACTATTGACAACTATGTTCACCAAAATTTCTTTGCATTAGCACTTCATTATTCATTCGTTAACACAAACACAAACTGATTGTTTTTCGTATAAATTTTCTGTAGTGTGAATAGTGAAACCATCAATAATTCAATTCAGGGATAAATAATTTTGATAATGTTCTTCTTCTTTTTTCGATCTCTATCTTATCAACCATGTTTTTCATTTCTTCTGATTCTTCCTCATTTACTTTATATTTTTGGTATCTTTTCTGGCTTATTTCATTTATTCTTTCTTCTAGGATTCTTTTCAACTGGCTAGCTAACTGTACCATCTTAGTTGTTTCTTTTCTATTTACTCTAGCCTGGGTAAATTTATCTTCAGCATTATCTACCCATTTTTCAACTTGTTCATTCAAGTTTTCCAATATTTTTCTTATAAAGTACTGTTCCTGAGTAGAGAGGACTGGATCCTCCGGGAGAAGGAAATATTAAGAGCAGATAGTTGTTGGTTCACAGATGGATCAAAAATACCTTCCGATTCAAGCTGCCTAAGAATTGCCATCGCTTTAGGCTTTGCCAAACAAAGATTGAGCAACTGAATGCCAAGAAGATGAACTTCTGGTATTGGCTCACTCCAAGGCTTTTAGTCACCCTTGGATGCTTGATAACGAACAGTTGTTGGACTACAGTGGGGATGAACTACGATGTTTAACAGGCCTTCTCACAGGCCACTGTCATTTGAATCATCACAACCTCCACCGCAACCCGCAAGGGTTGGAATAGGCCCACTCACTCTGGACCTAACCTAACTAGTCCACATAACCTAACATAACTTGTCCACATAATAGACACACCTGAAGGAACTATTGTATAGCGAAACACGTGTTGCGTTTTTGTAAAACTGTTTAGTGAGAATCTTACAATGAATTGTTTCTTGAAAACACATGATTTTAAAATTTTTAAATTGTGATTGATTGCCAAATCCACCATAGCTTGAGAAAACGGTATTGAGGTTGGTATGTGTAACGACTCGAATGTGTTTGTGATCACAAAAGTTTACCTTCACTACTAATACACTTTTTGAAAAAGAAAAACAAATCAATGAGTTCAAAGCATTCTGTGAAAATTGAATCTACTGATACTCCCACCTTCATTCATGCATTTTTTCAGTTATTTCGGAACACGCCCCTTCTCAAACGAAGAGAGTAACTAAACCTCCTGCACCTTGGTTAACTTACAATATAAAAATGATGATTGCACTCAAAAACCGAGCTCTGAGTAAATACAAGAAATTATTATCTCTTGCCGATTGGAATAGCCATAAGGACCTCAGAAATTATACATGTACTGCGATACGACTTGAGAAGAAAAGCATATCTGGACTTTTGTTTTAAGAAATAAAAATTCCAAAGCAACTTGAAATACCTAAAGAACGCTTGATATCCTGAGGAACAACAAAAAATCAGATATCCCTGATGAATTAAAAGACGTCAATCTCATCAACCAGCACTTCAATTCCATACCCCAACCTATCAGATCTGCTCACCAATTGTCCTTATTAGATCGATATGTTAATTCGAAAGAAACTGAAAACTCCTTTCACTTCACCTCAGTCACCTGTGAGATTGTGCGAAGTTCCCTGACACGCATCAAGAGCAACGCTTTGGGTTCTGACGGGATATCCCTCAAAATGATCAATCTCATTGACTCTTTTCTAATAAATCATTTCACCTTTTTCATAAACTTTATCATTACCAGTTTCCAATTTCCAAAATGTTGGAAGGATGGATTGGTCATTCCTCTGGCTAAGTGTAACTCACCTACTATTCTTTCTGACCTAAAACCAATTACAATTCTACCGTGTCTCTCTAAAGTAGTGGAATCGATACTGAAAAATCAGATTAATGAGTACGTCAATGAAAATCATATCATAACATATGTACAATCAGGATTCAGACCTCAGCATAGTACCACCACAGCTTTTCTGTCAATTACAGACGATATTTTTCAAGCTGCAGATGAAAAAAATTTGACCTGTTTAATACTTCTAGATTACAGCAAGGTATTTGACACTCTAGATATTCTAGATCATGAAATATTGTGTGACAAACTTGTCTACTTCGGTTTTTCTCGGAAAGCAGTGTCACTCTTAGAAAACTATCTGAAGAATCGTTCTCGATGAGTTGTTGTGGATGAAGTTGTTTCAGATGCTCTACCGGTATTTAAGGGAGTGCCATAAGGATCTATCCTTGGGCCCTTGCTTTTCAGCTTGTATATTTGTGATTTTCATCTGTTCGTGAAAAATTTCAATATACATCACTTCGCAGACGACACACAGTTATATTTCTCTTTTTCGCCTGGCGAGTCTACATCTGCTCAGTCGTATATTAATAACGATCTCCAAGTCATCTTTGACATTTCTACAGCCCATAAGCTCAAGCTCAATTCTGACAAATCCGCAATAATGATGTTCGGAGCTAAGAACAGAGAGCTCATCAACTCTACTTTTCAAGTTCGCATCGAAAACGAAATACTTCCCTCCGTGGCCGAGATAAACAATTTAGGATTGTGGTTAGATCTGGAACTTCGCTTTACTAAACATGTCAGCTACCTGAAACAATCTTCTTACAACGTTCTCAGACAGCTTTTTCCTAATCGTGATTTGCTCAACACAAATTTAAAACTTAGACTATGCGAGTCTCTGAATATATCAAAAATTTCCGATTGCGACAGTATTTATGGACCTGCTTTAAAACAATCGGATGATCTTCGACTACAGCGTATTCAGAATAGCTGTCTACGTTTCTCGTTTGGTATACGAAAATACGACCATATATCCCCAGCAATGCAAGAATCAGGATGGTTAAATGTTGAGAAACTTAGAACTCTACATCTTCTTACCGACAACCTGATTACTTACTGAAGAAGCTTAAAACATTTTCTACGAGGAACAGCTCAGTTCAAGTCATCCCCAAATACAAATCTTCCATCTTCACCCGCTGCTTCTCGTATAATGCACCCAAATATTGTAATCAACTACCCTGTAATCTTACACCATTGAAATATTGAAAACGGAAAGACTGAAGACTTACTTAACTCTTTAGCCTCTTATCTGTTCCCAACCTTGGCATTTCTAAAATGAATATTCTAAAGTTAACAATAACAAATTTTTTGATATCGTTAACTCGACTTGATTTCTTTTTTGTGTTTATATTATTCAATTATAGTCTCTCCCAGGTTGAGTTGAAAAACAGCCTTGGCTGATACTTCGCCTATTCACCATATACTGAAAGTTTTTTTTCTTTTTTCGTTTTTGTTCCTGTATACTGTTTTATTTTATTTTTGTCTATTTCATTTGTATTTTTATGGTGAATAAAGATGTATTATTATTATTATTATTAAATACTTACTGTGGCTAAGATGTTGTGATATAAGCATTTGTACAGGTATTCCATCCTTCGTAACATTCTTTGCCTGATGACCAAGGAACTGATTTTTTGCATATCGACTTATCCTGAAGTATTGTTTATAAAGTCCCATGATAAACTACCCGCGGTGAACCTGAAAAAAAAATAAAAAAGAATCTTGTCAATTCGATAATCGTCTCATTGGAACGTGTTTCTAAGTTTCATGCCTTCAGCAAAAATCAGCAGTTTTTGCATACCAGAACTTTGATATGGGTGAAATAGATAAAATGAAGAATATGGACATATTTCATTATCTCATGTGCTCCATCCTATATATTTTACGAAATATTTACTTATTAAATCTCTATTTCAAGGTGAAGAAACTTGGTATGGAATATTTTTCATTCTATTTCATTATTTTTATTTTTATTTTTCTCATATTATTGNTGAATAACGATAACGGACCAATACCAAATAGCATACTATATAGCTTGTTGAAATAATATTGTTGGGTTTACTGATTACTACAAAAAGACACATTGTAAATATATTTAGATAGGCAATATTGTGAAACTAATTTTATATAGCTGAAAATTGTCCTATATATAGCTGTAACATTAAGGACATATTGTAAAATAATAGAAAGGCCAATTGTAAAATTAATTTAGGGTGGTACACTTGTATGGATGGTATTACTGATTATCTACCTGTATGATGTACCTGATTGGTATAAGTAGCTTTAGTTTTGAGTAGTTGTTAGTTTTATCCTCCTCTTGAAGATGATCACTTGGTGATCGAAACACGTGTCGAGGTGTAAAAATAACGATTTGGTGTTGGGAAAAAACTCCAGTAATATTCAACCTTGGATGCAATTATTTCAATTCAGTTATATCCATGCCTCATCATTATTGTATTATTATTGATTTTTGAATTGACATACATAACGTTTGCCTAAAAAGTTCGTAGGCTAACATAAAAAAGCAATTTTCATTATAAAATTTGATATTATCATTCAATATTCAATTCAATATACATTGATTATAGCGGTCATACAACTTTTCGGTAGCGTTTTAATACTACGATTTGCCTTTAGCTTCAAAATAGGCCTCAGTTTCGATGATTATATCTTCATTGGCGCTGAATTTCTCGTCAGTGAGCATTCTCTTGAGGTCTATGCAGAAAAAGTCGCTGGGGGCCAGATCTGGAGCATACGGTGGATGTGAAAACAATTCGAAGTCCAATTCATGCAATTTTGCCATCGTTTCCATTAATTTGTCACACGGTTCATTGTCTTGATGAAACTACACTTTCTTTCTTTTCAGATGAGGCTGTTTTCCGCGATGTCGTCCTTCACATTCTCCAATAATGGCATGTGATACCAGCACACCACTTATTCTCAACGGTTTGAGAAGTGGTGTGCTGATATCACATTGATGTTCATCAAGCCAAGCCTTGCTTTCAACAGTATATTTCTCCCAAAAAGCAATTATACCCGCGAAATTCCTCTTTATCCATTTTCTCCAAACTAACAAAAGATGCTTCACTCAAAATGTTCTATCCCACAAACTAATAATCCAACAGCTGTGTACACGTGTCTTTTGAAGGTTAGAATTGACTGAAAATTATACTAGTAGCGCCACCTAATGCTTAGTTCTTGGATTACTATATTATATTCTCATATATTATTCTCTCATATTATATTCTCATAATATCGATGATTTCTTTACACCAAACAAAATATAAATCTCAGATCTTATTCATATTTTGAATATATATTTCAAAAGAATAGGCACACATTTTTCCTTTGTCCAACTCAAGTTTTTCCAATTTCACCTTTCCAATATGCAATTTTTGGTTGAACCGTAATCTTTGTTAAACTACGAAGCATTTCTTCACTATTACCATCTTCCCGGGAGAGACTGTGTCTAGCGGCGGTTCTCAAGTCACACCCTATGAGGAGCATTTCACAGATCTGCGACCCAATAACCTTGCTCTTACCTCAATTCGTTGAACTTTTGTTGTACAGTACCATCACCGTTGTGAAAGTGTAATTGAAAGAGGATGTGCTACACGAGAACTTAACGTTTTTTACTAGATTTATATTCGTTTCTGTTTCTATTGGGTAGGAGTGAGGAAATTGTTCCACATATAATAATAATAATATGTTTATTCAACAACAACATTGAGTTAGTACAGATTATAACAGAAATCATATGTGAAGGAACAAACACAAGAACAGCCATAAGGAAATATATCCGCGCATGGCTATAGTTCTGGCTATAACTCCTAAAGGCATATGTAACAATGAACAAAAAAACAAATAAAGGGCTATATATACATATATACACATACATACACACACATACATACACACATATTTTTTTTTTAGTTTTGCTTATATGCGCACTCAGTATTTTTGACCATTTAATAAATTTTGTTGTAAGTTACATTCGTATAATAATCACCCGTCAACTTTTTTTCCCTAAAGCGTATTGGTATACAAACTAGTTATATTATAGTATACCTATGAAGGGATATATATCACATATGGAATCTTGGTGGAAATGAATCAGTTGAAATGAATATTATTGAGACTTTCAGGACATTTGGAGGTTCTTCAAGCGTTCGTAACGTTACAATCGTCTCCCGATGATGCTAGTTTAGTTAGCGAAACGTCGCACCGAGAATAGTGTTTTTACAGTTCTCATGCATGTATTGTTCTAATGGAAAAATTGTAATGATCAAAAAATAATTACTTCAATAAAAATATGTATGAAACAACATAATTTTCAATAATAGAGATCAATATTTTATAATTATGAACAGAAGAGATGAATTTAAGGAATGAACCTTATTGGCTTCTTATTCATCCTCTATTGATTTACAAATCACAAAAAAAAACCCGAAAGGATGTCAAAATCGATAGATTGGCGTTGTTATGGATTTTGAAATGTCGAATTCCATAACACTATACCCAATAAATATTACTGGAGTTTTCTTCCAACACCAAACCGTTATTTCAACATCTCGACACGTGAGTTGATAGAAATACATAATTCGTCTTTTATTTTTTGTTTTTTTAATTAATATTGATACTCCACTTATTGTTCAATTCAGTAATTATTTCATTTTTATTTGATATCATATTCAAATTAGCGTTCTTATAATTTTTGAGTCTCATACTTATTATTAGAACATACTGAAGGCATTTTCATTTTGATGAGTGAAGCTTTGACACACTTAATGATTTAACATCAACGGTCAAGACATCCAATAACAGACTTTTTTAAGTACCTTCTTCCGATCATTAGCAGACGACAATAACCTTAAGTTAGAAAGTACCGATATGCGTGATGAGTCCTCACTGCAGATAATGGAATAATTAGAAGTTAGAATTTTCTTGGGTTTATTACAGGTGAGTTTTTCGGTAGAGAAAGTAGGTGAAGAAATGAGAGGTTGAACTTTTCAACAGCGTTGCAAATCAACTATTCCGTTTCAATTACTGATTCCAAAAAATAGGTTATCGATTTGAGAACGGTATCAGATATTTATTGAGATGTACTGGGGATCTTGTCAACTCCTTCGATTAATATAGATTGTAATTTTGATAATTTTCGCATAGTGTTCTAGATGATGATTAAACATCACACCAAACAATACACTGGCAGTTAAGAGTTCAACTGTACTAGAGTTCTTTAAAAAATGCTACATTTTGAAACTAAATCAAGATTGTTATTGATTTCAGATGAAGAATTTTCTAGAGAATAAAAAACGTGCCACATCAGAATCTTCAAGCCTTCAATTAATTTTATGATCATTATATAATTCAAAAAAATGAACGAAACGGGTTTTTCAAATTTCATTTCAAAACCGTGAATGTATTATATTTCAGCAAATATACACTGACAATAGGAAATGTTCCTCCTGATGAAAATAAATTAGTTATCATAAAAGAGCTCTAAAACAACGCATTTTAAACTTATCATTTCAACCTTTTTCTTTAAAAAATTATTTAAATACTAAAAATAAAGGGGAATGAAATAATGCATTCAACATTTAATAGGATTCGTTTCTATTTCACCATTTGGCAACATCGGTTATAGCTAATAAAGGACAATGAATCTGTTACTTGTATGAGACAAACAAAGATAACATATTTCAGAGGCGTGCTGTTCTGTTTACTTATGTTCCCAGTTCCGAGACATTCTGTGACATATGACATTTTGTGCACCTAACCTATCTTCCTCTATATAAATAAATAACAAAACAACTGTTGTTTATATGGCTTGTGAAGGTGATATTGAACTATAATTTATATTTTGCCTCAATTGTTGATTTTTCCTTTTTCAAAGTAGAATATCTAGGTACGTATAAATCATTTCAACTTGATATAGACGTGTGTTACCAATATGTGAATTAGAAACAAATCCCTTCAAAAATTAAAACCCAACATTTGAAACATCAATTTGAATACTTTTCGAATTGAATTTGAAAAACTCATGAAATAAACTCAACTTTATTTTCTTCAAACTTGCATTTGCGGTAATAACCCAAATTGAGGAACATTCCTCATTCCTGCATTCATAAACTGATGGCATTACAAATCATCATTGAATCGCACTCATTACCTTCTTCGTTGAACAGAACTCACAAAAAATATTATTAATGAATGAATATAATTTGTTATACTGTTATTAACATCTGATAATTGACTCAGATAATTTTATACCACTTACAATGTAGTGATTTCCTTATCGTATTTAATTGTATATTTCCCCTATTTATCATGAGTTTGTCTTCAAGGAAAATGACATATGAAGGACAGGTTATATTTGTTGTTATTATATTCATTACTTTATTTATAGGGCACTACTATTCCTGTTTTACTGTTTTCCAATAAAGGATATGTGTATTATTCTCACAAGCTGGATATGATTTTTAGCAAATTAAAATCAAAAGATTTTATTTCAGAAAGATAACAATTTCAGAATTATTACCGATTAAATATCATGGGAAATGAAAAAGCACATCACCTCGTTAGAAACTGATGGTCATCTCCAAATATTTGGCTGAAACCAGCTGTTCGGGTAGCAAAACAAATCCAAAACTTCAGGTTTCCAACTTGAAAACTGACCAAATTCAATACAATCTGTG